CCACCACCACCACCACCCACCACCACCCGCTATTAGCCACCCACCTGTCACCACCACCCACCATCCGCCACCACCACCACCACCACCCCCCCGCTACCACCCACCACCCGCCACCGTCACCCACCCACCGACCACCACCACCACCCACCCGTCACCACCCACCACCACCTACTGTCACCACTTTTCACCACCGTCTTCCGCTGCCACTTGCCACTACTTGCCATTTCTCAATCTTTTTTATATTTTTAAATTTTTTTAAACATTTTGTTAATTACCAAACGCGTTTATAGTTTATGTTTTTCTAAAAATAAACAAAAATCAGTTTATAAAATTTTTGTAAATATAAACTGAAAACGTAAACGTTACCAAACACACACAAAGTAAATAAAGTAGACTATACCTTCCTGCTCATTTTCTTAGATTAAAAGATACATTTCATTGTTGTTCTCCCTATAAAAACTAAGTATTACACATATGCAGGTCTAGTTGCCCTTACTTAACTCGACAAAGTGTTGCCCAACTATTTGAAGCCAGCTGCACAAATCTTGTTTAGCTGTTTAGCTATCATGTTTAAATGCCTACACAGGTCTTAATTTTGAAAAGTCCACAAGCAAGCTTTTCTCTACCCCACAGACAGAACCATTTCTACTCCTACATATGTTCACACTATTAAGAGATGGTATCAAAATTGTTTCTACCTAGAAAAATACTTGAGGCTAATAATGCTCATGAATATCATTTTCTTAAAATTTTTAAGTAATTGTTTCAAAATGAAGCGCTTAACAAAAGGTTTCAAGGTGTTTTGGCAACGAATAGCAAAATAGAAAAAATTGTTGTTCATGTCCAAAAGAAATTAAATTAGAAATCAAAATTAACATCATTCCATACAAATACTTAAACCTCATTCAATACTTATAATGACACATTTAACTAAGAAATGGTAGCACTGTTTTGCCAAGCCATGTTTGATACTAAATAACTTTCTTAATTGGCATAATAAAAGATTATAAAGCAAAAGAATTCCTAATAGTCTTTAGGGCTCGTTCGGGAAGTGGGTTGGCTTTTTGGCCTTTTTGGCTATTTTAGCCTGGGGCTAAAAAGCTTGGTTTGGAAAGGCCTTTTGACTTTTTTGACTTTTTTGTGAGAAAAATAATGTAATGATTATGGATTGGATGTGATATTATCTTATTAGGCTAAAAAGCCTATTTTGTTTTTTGTGACTAAAATAGCCAAAAAAACCTCAATCTTGCCTTCCCAAACGAAGGCTTAGACTGTTTTCGGTAAAACCAACATACCAATTGCATTGCATGACAGGTTTCCCAAAGATCCTCTAGCAGTGACAAATGAATTGACCAAAAATCTAGAGCCACTTTGAATATGTTCATCATCAATGTCCAAGCAAGTCAACCCTAGACAATGAAATTTACAGGATAACTTCTCAAGGAAAGTGTTCTTGAAAGTTTATTGAACTTAAAAATAAAACATTTTAAGAAGAAAAGTGTTCTTATGGAAATCACAGGTGAATATTTGAAATAAAAAGTTTGGTAAAATAAAAAAGAGTGTTGAGAAACTTGGAGGTTGACTTAAGAGGAGTTGAGATGAATTGGATAATACAACTCTTGCTTTTAATTTACTCATCAAATATTTTAAATGATTATTTGGTGAGTGGTTGTCTTTGCTCACCTCTTACACTTTCACGTACTCCACATCAGAATACATAGAGTTGGGCAATCATGCCTTATATTTAATGCTTTTGCAAACTTATATGTGTACACCCATGCTTTTTTCTTTTTTCTTTTTCCCGTCATGTAAAACTAACTAGTTTATTTTTGGACATGTAAAATTAGTTAGTTCACACGCTTATATTAATTGATGATATGTATTTCATACTTGGCTTTGTGTAAGCTCATTTTTGGCTTTTGAAGGCTAATTGTGGGAGTTGTAACTTTATAATCAAACTCTAATTACTTCTAACGTATTGGCATTGTATTCAAGTAATTGTTACGCAATTTCATTTTATTTAACATTTTCTTTTAGATCAGTGATTTTATTTAACATTGAAAATTGGAAGGAAAAAAAAAAACTTTTATTTAAATCTGTACCAAATTCATTTGTGTCATCAATCAATATTTTTGGAGTTGTTTAACTCCCAAAAATCACATTCTTCTTAAGCTAAAGTCCTACCTAAAGTCCCTTAGGTTTAAGGGTTGACTGAGACTTCATTACAAGCTTATTCAGATCATTTTCCACCAATGCATAAAATCAGCCTGATTTGTAATAGAATTGGAAATTATTATATTTAATTCATGTTTTGAATCCAAATAAATGTGATTTCCAAGTTATCATAATTTGATTAATTAAATAGTGACCTACCAATTGGCATTGCGATCAACAGGAATGTGGACTTAAAATTGGGTTAAGCAACCCTAATAATCATACTTGGCGAAATAATCCACCAGGTTTAGAAACTGGAGTGTGACACCCCACAATCTATGGCATGTCTAAATAAAAGCGCCATGTTTCTTTATTTACTATCCTAAATTGTCACATGTTTGTGTGCGATTGATTATTCAATTGATTGCTAATGGCCTGATTTACGTATCTTTATTTCTCAGAAGATAATAGATTTGCTATCCTAAATTGTCACTTGTTTGCAGATGATTGATTATTCAATTGATTACTAATGACCTAGCTTACACATTTTATTTCTATAGAACTCTAGAAAAACCCTAGATTGCATCAGTAATTGGGGGTGTTTAAATAGCCGATGACCCGATCCAAACTGACTGACCCAAACAAATCACGGATGGTTTCGACACTACGGACACCGTCTGCAGTTTCGATATATCACTTTCATTTTTTATTTTTTATTTTTTTATTTTTTTTGAGTTTCGGTCAAGTGATGGTTTTAAGAAAAGAAAATCCATTTAACTAGAACCGACCGACTCATATATATATATATATATATATTATGACGTCTTGTTACCATTTGTTTGAGTGAAAAGAGTAGTTTTTCTCTTTATCTTCCCAAGACAAGACAATACCTCACCTTATCACTCCATGTTACTTCATCACCGATCCACCCTCTCTCTCTCTCTCTCTCTCTCTCTCTAAGAGAAACCCTAAAGCATCTAACCTGTCACCACAATCTGTAGACTTCAAAACTCTAAAAATCCTCTCAAATTTCTGGTTCTCTCATATCTTCAAGCCTTTCACTCTCACGATTCCATTCACTGCTATCTCTCTCTCTTCACAAAATTCCCAAATAACAAAACCCCAGCCTCATTATCTTCACAAATCAAAGTTCCTACTCCGGCAAATATGGCTTTGCTATTTCCATGTCCGGCGAATATGGTTATGCCACTCCATCTCTAAATTTTTTTTCCAATCTGTATTTGACGACCTACACTGATGGTCCACTATATGAACTTTACAATTTGTACTTTTTTTCAGATATTTATAATTGGTGAGATGATTTTTTTTTAGTTTTATTTTTCCAGATCTGTTGATGAAATGGTTTTTTGGGATTATACAATACATAGTGACCAAAATCAGATCTGCAAGGCTGAACATGGTTTTTCCTTTTTTCTTTTGGTTGTCAGATGTAGTTCAGTTTGTCCAATCTGACCACCAAACTGATTAACCCAATTTCTGCAGTTTCAAACCATACATCGGTCAGAAAAGGGGTGAGTTTTTCCCAATCCGATTTGGCCAGGTAGGATGATGGATCAACTGTAAAACCGATCCGACTCTACCCGTGAATAGCCCCATCAGTAATCAACTTCTTTTTGTCTGCACATAAAATGCACACTAATCATCTACATCATAGGTGGAATGCGGAAGTCTTGAATATTTTTGTCCAACAGCATTCTCCAAACAATAGAAAGTGACAAAAGATCAGTTTGAAATAGCTAAAAATCCGTCTTCTAGAAAGCAACAATAGATCTATTTGGTTGGTATTGTAGTTGAAAACATTTTTACCAGAATGAATCTGGATGCATCCACATCAAATTTGCAAGGTATAAAGCCAATTCCTAAACCTCTCAATGATTTTGAAGAGAAAAAAAAAGGTTCCAAAATTTATGAGTGGTCAAATTTTACTATTCTTAATTTTCCTAATCCTCAACCCAGCAACACATCTTGTGTATTATTTCCCCCACTCTAAACTTACACCTAAAATAAGGTGACCAAGCCCTACCATGCAACTAACAAAAATATTCCCAGACTGAATGCATCTTAATTTTGGACAAAGAGGTGCTGGGTTACAAAAAAGGAAACCAGCAACAGTTCATTTCATCTTCTGCTTTGGCACAAATTAAGAGCCATGCATTCTCATAGAAACAGATACATCATGGCCTTCAAGAAGGGATTCACAACAAAAAAATCCTCTTTTTCTCTTATTTTTTTGTGAGAGTTTAAACATCATGCAATGTCAATTCAATATCAAATTATCACATTTTGTCTACAGATAAATCTCGAAACCTTTTTTTTTTTTTTCTTTTAAATATTTGAAAATGTAGATTCTCAATATGCAACAATCAAGTATAAAGATAACCTCATAGGTTGACGAAACCATGTAAGATTCACCAAGGTTGCCGCACACAAAATATAATAACAACAATAATTTTTTTTTAAAAAAAGCTTCTCGTTTAGGAAAAAACTTTTATGCAAGCCTCTTTTGTTCAAACAACACCATATACCATTCTTGTAAGATGGCAAAAAAAAGCTAATATGAGGTGAAGTGCTACTCATAGGCACATCAGAAAGTCCCATCACGATCACTTATTTAGTCAAAACAGTCCACAGTTGTTTCTCTCATATTTATTTTCTACAAAGGGGAATATATGTTTTAATGAATTTATAATCAAAGGGGAAAAAAAATGGACAAGGGAAGAGATTTTAGAAACTACCTTTATCACATTGTAATTGATTCATCCAAGGAAGCCAAACCCCATCATACCACATTCTAGTGTAAGTGTCATACAACAAACTCATTCTCACTTTGCATAAGACGCGCTACTATTCTAGGTAAAGTTTACTTCACCTTATGTGGTTTAATAATTCTTCTTAATCTCCCCTTGTTTCTCACCCTCCTCATATTCAAAAATAATAATTAGAAATTGATTAACTAGGGACAAAGCCTAAAGTTACTTCATCCTATGCTAATCTGCTAACCTACATACTTAGGAGTCCATGCCATTTATGGATCCATGTCATTTATGTTTCTAGGTAAGACAAATTTTGCTCCATGGAACACAACCCCTTGCAGCTTCTAACTGCGTGAAAATGAAAATAGAAAGTTCAAAATTGCTTCAAAGATGTTAAATGTTCCAAGGAAATAAGTAAATAATGGTTCTTCACTGTCCAATAACATCTAATCCGTATCCTAACAACTGATTCCAAAAATTTTATAAAATCCTACTAATAATTAAATTTGTAACAGTGTTTTCAAAGCTAGACACATTCCATTTTATACCCTTGTATTACTAAACATATGTCTCATTAGATGCATATTGCTGTATAAAAGTTTCACCAACCAAACCAGATAGACAAAATACATTGGTAAATTTTGCATTGCAATAGGATAGAGGATTAGAAATCGTTCAAAACACTTTAAAATATTGGGCAAGCTTGTTATAGTTTTTGTCTTTTGTAATCCCAAACAAAAAAATCATAAACTGACAAACTGGAAAATTTGTTTCACTGACTAATTTTTTCTGAAACACCCCATATTTAATATGCATTTTAAGTTGAATTCCAAATTTTTGAAGAAAAAAAATATATTCACAAAAAATAAATATGATACGAAAACAGTGATTGTTCGAACTTTTCATTGCTTTTGCTCACAAAAACATCAAAAAGAAATGAACAGCCCCTTAATGTTCTAAGCAGATTGGATTAGAAGAAAACAGAAAGAACAACAGAAATTGAAAACACGAATAGAAACATACCGCTGGTAACTAGTAAGTGATTGAGTACTGCGTAATGCCTTAATTTTTTCTTCAAGCAAGGCCCGTTCATGCAATGCAGCCACAGCTGCTGCTACTTGGGAAACTAAAATCACTCTGCTATTAATGGATTCACCCAGTACACTATTTCCATCATCCTCCACACCCTTTTCAAATGGCTCCACAGATTTACCATCAACATCTCTCGAAGCAGGTGATTCAGGGGCTTTTTGCTCCAACAGGAACAATGAAGAATTCAATGAAATATTTAACATCCACTGTTTAAGTGTGTCAATGGCAAAAAGCTTCCCATTCACCTCACCATACAACACAGAAAACTGAAAAGACAACCACTTCAATACCTCAACCAAAATGGGACACTTTAAACTCATAGCAGCTGGATTCAACTCCCTCGCATCTCTGTTCAATACTGAATCCACCGAACCAGTAGCTTCCCTCACAATTGCTTTCAAACAAAGCTGAAAAAGCAAAACTATATGGTCCCTCATAGGCACATCAATCACAACACCATAACGAGGCGAGTTCACAATTACCCATCTAAGGAAATCACAATCTTCAGCCATAACAGAACACAAAATGATCCGAAGAACTCTATACGAATAGGCAATAGGATAATCCCTCCATGACTCGATTTCGCTCCTAACAAGCCACAACTCCGAAGGAAGAAGCGTAACACAATCCCTAGAGAAACCCTTAATTTCACCATTATCACTGCCTACAAAATTTGCACACTGAATCGATAGAATACCTGGGAGAGAGAAGGTTCGGCTCGAACTATCTCGATCGGCAGAGCTAACTACGCCGGGGCAATTACGGTAGAAGAAATTGGGGCCAAACTCGCAGTAATCGTCGAGGGAGAAGCAGAGGTCGGAGTTGGGATCGTGTATGGTTTGAAGGACGCGGTTCTGATTAAAGAGTTGTTGGGAGGGTTTGAGAGTGTTGGTGTAGCGTAGTGATTGGAGTAGGAGGGGGTCGAGGTTAAGAAGGGGGGAAGGGGAAGAAGGGCATTGGAGGGAGTGGCGGAAGAGGGATTCCGGCGGAAGGCGGTGGTGGAAATTGAAAGGACAGGGGCAGAGGGCGGCGGCTGTGGTGGTGATGGTGGGGAGGAGAGTGGAGATGGAGTGGAGGGCGGTTTCGGAGAGGTGGATGAGGTGTTTGAGTGTTGAGAGAGCGGTTGGGAGATCGGGAGGCTGCGGCAGAGGCGGAGGTGGCGGTGGTGAAGTGATTGAGTTGGTGGTGGTGGAAGAGGGATGGTGGTTGAGATGAGAATAGAAGAAGTTAGGGTTAGGGTTTTGGGGTGACGGAAGAAAGGTGAGGTATGGTAATGGAGTTTTGCTGCAACAGAGAGCAGGAAAGGGGCATAGCAATGTATTTGCACAGATATATGCATGTCTCGATCCTCGTGTCACCAATCACGCATACCGAGGCATGATGGCCGAGGAGTCGAAATGCACAACTCAATATAGGATGAATGCGCATGAAACTACAGCTAAAACCTAACTCCATCATGGATAATCCAGAGTGTCGGTGACTGGGAAATCGAGACACATTCCGTCACTCGGAGTACGAAATGTACCTCGTTGCCCGTGCCCGGGTTAACTCCTATTCCGAACACGATGCAATATGCATGATATGCATGAAATGCAACTAAGATGCAATCCTAACATACAGAATGCTATGGAAATGAGACGCCTCGAAATGCGTTCACTCGGGCACGCAAATCGAGAAAATACAAGGATGCAATCTAAGATACAACCTAGTATGCACTATGCTATAGAAATGATATGCCTCGAAATGCGTGCACACGGGCACGCAAACTGAGGCAATGACAGAATGCGATGAAAATGAGACGCCTCGAAATGCGTGCACACGGGCACGCATACCGAGGCAATGACAGAATGCAATGAAAATGAGATGAAAACATGATATGGACTTATACCAACATGAGTGAGCCTCAGCCACACTCACATAGGATGCCGATGAATGAAAAATGAGGTGTCTCGAAATGCGTGCACTCGGGCACGCAAACCGAGGCGATGACAGAATATGATGAAATGACATGAAAACATGATATGGACTTATACCAACATGAGTGAGCTTCGGCCACACTCACATCGGATGCCGGCGGATAAAAATGAAGTGCCTCGAAATGCGTGCACTCGGGCACGCAAACCGAGGCGATGATAAAATGTGATGTGATGTAATGACATGAAATGGATGGCAATCATTCTAACAGAATTTCAGCAACAAAATATGGGGGAAAACAGTCCCGAAATGAAGCGAAATGACACCAAATGCATGAAATTGTCCCGAAATGCAACATTAGGCACCCGAAATGGCCTATAGCTATGCCAAACATGCACAACATGGACATGCAATGCAAAGACAGAAGCTAGACAGTCCCAAAAGAGGCACTTTCACAGTTATAAACATGGACAAACAGCAAGCATATGTAGGGAAAAAATAGCATGCAAGAATAGGGGCCAAGATAGGGGTTATGAAGCAAGTGATATAAGCAAAACCCAAACTGAAAAATTTCCTTCTACAAAACTGAAGATGGACAAAAATATGAACATTCACAGTATATGGCAGCCTCAAAATCAATATACAAATATGCTAAAAATGTGATGCAAAACAAGGCTCAAAAGGTGCTATAACATGAAGTATACAAAATAATCACCAAACAGAAAAAAAGTGTTAATGAAACATGAAGTATAGGCCAAAATAAGGCCACTTTCAGTTCGGACCAAGGTCCAACAACAGAAGCAAAGAGGGCTGCCAATTTATGCAAAAATGGGGCCAAATAAGGGATATAACTACAAGTGACACATGGAAGTACCAAACAATGTTGGGCCCTTCTCCAATGTTTAAGAGGGGCTCAAAATAAGCCTAGTATCAGTTTACAACATGCTAAAAAACAGGTTTCTCATGGGTCAAAAATAGCATGCAAAACTATGACATACAAGAGGATCAATGAAGCAAGTGTGTCATGGAGGGCTCAAACAGGGTTGAGCCCTTAATGAAAAGTGAAGATGAGCTCAAAAGATGGCCCTTTCCAGTTAGGGCCGGAGCTTGAAACAAAAAGAAAGTGGGGTTTAAAAATAGATCAAGAAAAAGGGTCAAAAGGGTAAAAGTATTACTTACCCTTGAAGGCTCAAACTTTTGTTGCTTCTTGGATGAATTTGTAGCTTCTTTGGCCTTTGAGAAACCTTCATTGTTGCTGGAAATGAGGTGGTGGTGGTAGAGCTTGGTGGTGTAGAAGGAATGACGGTTAGGGACTTAGGGTTTTTCAAAGAATTAAGAAGGATGAAGATGGAGTTGAGTATGGAGACTTGAAGCGCAATTTTTCTAACCCTTGTAAGTGAAGCCACCAGCTGGTTATAAGGGTTCAAAAGGGGGTGTAAAGGTGGGGGAAAAAGAGAGCAAAATTCCCCCACAAAATATCCTCCGGATAAATATCTTGTCTGGGGGATATTGCCCCACAGCTGTAAAGTGCACAGTGCAAGGAACACGGCCGTTGAAAGTTGGCAACACTAACCCTAGGGTGTTCAACATTAGCCTCAAAGAGGAGGGGCAAAAATGGAAAGAACAATTAGTGGCCGGCCATGACTTTTTTGGGTTCTCCAAGGTGTGTAGATCACAGGTATGTGGTTGAAAGTTGGCAACACTAACCCTAGGGTGTTCAACATTAGCCTCAAAGAGGAGGGGCAAAAATGGAAAGAACAATTAGTGGCCGGCCATGACTTTTTTGGGTTCTCCAAGGTGTGTAGATCACAGGTATGTGGTTGAAAGTTGGCAACACTAACCCTAGGGTGTTCAACATTAGCCCGGAAGTTGGAAAAACGGGCGCCGGGAGGCTCCGGAGGAGAGATAACTGGTTGCTGCAACAATTACTAGCCTTCCACCCTTCCATGACCTTCCTAGTGATGAAACAGAGGTACCTGCCAAAAATGAGCAAAAACCGATGCAAAACGAATGTTCGGAGGCCAAAACACGCAGTTCGGGATCCCGAAAATGGGCTGTTAAGCACCGAAAATGGCGTTCAGCCACGAAGTGGGTTTCCGGGACCCCAGTGTCCCTCAAAAGGGAGCAAATAGAAAGTAGGCCAAGAATCAGAGCAAACGGAGATGGTTAAGCGGTCCCGAACCGAGGCACACGGCCAACGGTCCCGAAAAATCGGGAACCAGACTCCGAAATGGGCAAAATGGCCTACGGCCACCAAATGTAGCCTACGGACATTGAGAGTTGGTCTACGGGACCTCTCCCTCCCCTCAGGAAAAGAAACAGAGAAAACCGAGTCTGGTTCGCAAACCGAGACAAGGCACAGAAGAGGGTTCGGAAGTCTGGAGGTAGGTCTCACGGCCGTGACTCTGAAACTTCTGAACAAGCACATTATGCAATATCACCAAGTGCTCAACTGGTGACGTCTGAGTCTCAAGGTCGGTCAAAAATGGGGTGTCTACACCATAGAATCCCTACACCCATGTACCTACTTCATTCCTGAGTAGTCCTCCATATCTTGCTTTCCCAGGGTCTCATTTGGAGCTTCCATTAGTGTTCAACTTGAGCTTACCAACAATGGGACAAGACCACATCATTAGTTTAGGGTCCCTATAATTTGGGTGCAAGATGGCCTGAAAGGCTTCCTGAGTTTCCATAGATGGCCTGAAAGGATTCCTGAGTTTCCATGGCTTGGTTTAGAATGAGTTTGGCACTAATGTGGAAAGGTTGGGTTAGATTCTCAAAAACTTTCTTATTCTCTCATTCCAAATGATCCATAGAGCTGTCAAGAAAATAGTTAGCCATAGAATATTATTGACTTGGTCCTTACATCTTAGATTTGTTTTGATCCAATCTGGTAGAGGGACATTACTGCTTTGCTACACCAGTCAGTGCTCTTGAGGTTCAACCATATAGCCTTGGCTTTGGGGCAGTCTCTAAGAAGATGATGTATATCCTCTCTGGTTGTTTGGCACCTGGGACATATCTTAGAATCAAAGAGGTTTCTGATAAGCCTCATATGATTAGTAAGAAGTCTTTCATTCATGACAAGCCAGAGGAAACTTTTGAGTTTGTGAGGGGCCTTGATCTTCTATAGTCACTGCCAATCAATGCCCTTACTTTCTTGATTTGATATAGCTTGATGGGCTGCTGTTGTTGAGTAATTTCCACTGAAAGAGCCTTTCCATTGAGGGGTGTCACTGTAGGTCACATACATAGGTCTATAGATGCTAAGAATGGCCTCTTTGTCCTATTGAAAGATGAGGTCTTGAATTGAAGTCAAGTCCTAGTTCCTTTCTTCATCAATAATAGAACTAACTTTGGTTGTAGTCTCAATGTGCCCTCCTTGGTTTGTTAAGCACAGAGGTTGGTTCCCACACCACCAATCAGTCAATAAGGATATATGTTCTCCTGTACCAACATTCCAGTTTATGTTCTTATCCAGCACATCCCTATTTTTGATAATGCTCTTCCAGGTATGGGAAGCTCTTTTCTTGATGGGCCAGTTGGAGATAGAATGGTTTTTGAGGTACTTGGTTTCGAGAATTCTGCACCAAAGCTTATTTGAGTTAGTGGCAAGTCTCCACCCTAACTTTGAGATAAGGGAAGAATTCTGATCTCTTTCTTTTCTGATGCCTAGACCCTTATTTCTTTACTTTTGCGCACCTGCTGCCAACTTTCTAGATGGACTTTCCTCCTGGTATCAGTACTGGCCCATAGGAAGTTTTTTGTTTAACCTGTCTATTTGGTCACAAACCTTTCTTGGAAGCTTCATTGTTTGCATGAGATGATTAGGCATAGCAGAGGTGACAACCTTGATCAAAGTAGTTTTTCCTGCTAAGGATAGATTTTTGGCTTTCCATTCAGAGAGCCTTTTGGACATTGTTTCAATGATGTCTTTCAATTGATTTTTGCTAATTCTGCTATAGAGAAGAGGAGTGCCCAGGTATTTACCTAGGTCATTGGTGAGAGAGATACCACACTGGTAACTAAGGGGAAGGGCTTGCCTTCTAGAGATGTTAGAGGAAATGAACATTGTGGATTTTTGAAAGTTGATTTTTTGTCTAGACATGTCACAAAATTTAGATTACATATCCATAATACAATTACAGTTCCTTCTATCAGCTTTAGCAAATAAAATCAAGTCATCAGCAAAAAACAAGTGAGAAATGAGAGGACTGTTACTGGAGGCCTTGAGGCCCTTCCATTCTTCACTTTCAATTTTTAATCTAATCATATTGGAAAGGTTCTCCATGCAAAGAACAAACAAATAAGGGGATAGAGGATCCTCTTGTTTGAGGCCTCTCCCCATACTGATGCTAGGTAAGGTCTCACCATTCCAAATTATTTCAGAGTTGACATTAGACATGCAGTTCATGATGAGGGTGATAGAATTTAGATTTAATTCTTTAAGGGAATGATGGATGAAATCCCAAGATATGCGATCATAAGCTTTCTCAAGGTCAATTTTGATAACCATGCCACCAAATTTTCCTTTTTTACATCTAAGTGTATAAAGGATCTCTTGGGTTATGACAATGTTATCAGTGGTGGTTCCACTCGGGATGACGCTACTTTGATTAGGACTGATGAGGTCAAGGAGAAAAGGTCTAAGTCTGTTGACAATGATTTTAGTGATGGTATTATAAGTGACATTACAGAGGATGATGGATCTAAAGTGTTTTATGGACTTAGGATTATCCAATTTTGGTATGAGAACAATTTGGGTTTCATTTATCTCTTTGGGCACAATTTTACTAAGAAATCAATCTTTGATGAAATGGCAGACAGAGGTTCCAATAGTGTTCCAATGGTTGTGATAGAAGATAGCTTGGAGACCATCTTTCCTAGGGGCTTTAAAAGCTTTTATGTTCCTAATGGCATTCTAGATTTTAGAATTAGACACAGGGGCCAAGAGCCAATCATTATCTTCAGCTATGATTTTGATTCTAGCAATGTTAGTCCAGCTGTTTAATAGGTGGGTGTCCTAATGCTGGAAAAGTTTACTAAAGTGGTCCCTTATGTCGGCTTTAAGGTCATTAGTATTTGAAATCCAATTACCTATCATCTTTTAACGCTTGGATTTTTAATTTTCTTCTCTTGGTTAAGGTAGAAATGTGAAAAAATTTGGTATTTCTATCTCCCATAGTGAGCCACTTGTCTCTAGATTTTTGGTACCACAAAATCTCTTCTTGAAAAAGAGTCATGTTAAACTGTTTAATAAGGTCCTTCTCAAGAATATGTAGATTATGTAAAAAGGTCTGAGATTGGGCTCTTTGAATTCCTTCAATACGGGCCAGAAGAACTCTTTTCCTTTTAAAAATGTTTCCAAAAACTTCTTTATTCCATGTTTTAACATTATGAGTGAAATTTTCAATGGCCTCAAGAAGTTTAAAATCCATATTAGACCAGGGTTTGAGAACAACTTCAGAGAAATTAGGGCGGCAAAGCTTTTAGGCCTATTTAGAGTTGCCTAAATCATGTATAAGTCCACCTTTTCATCAGTTTGCATTGCCTCATGTTTGCTTGTATGCTTTCATAAGTGTCTTGCCGTGCCATGTTGCATCCTTAGCTTGCATGCCTAGGTTGCATTGCATCTTGCATGCATGCCTTGTTCCTTGACTTGGTGATAGGAATTGGGCCTTGATTCGTTTGTTTGGTTTGCATTTCATTTGACATGAAAGTTGCACACTTGATTTTTTGGGCCATCATGCATGGAAATGTATAACGCCCTCAAAAAAATAACATTAAACCCATTAAATAAGATTCATTAACATATGAAATAACCACATTCTTCCATTTATCAGAATTCCATTACATAAGTATTACATGTTAACAACAAAAGCAAAATGCCCTACGGGCTTATAGCTTTCCAAGTTAACACTTGGTTACAACAAAAAGAGTACTAACTCATTTACACATTAAGCCCTTGGCTTGAATTTTACATGTAATACATCAAAAAGTAAAAACGACAAAAGTATGTCCGCCCCTAGCCTCCCAAGCTATATCCTTGGAGGTGGCATGCTACCTGTACCTGAAAATGATATTCCCATATAGGGTGAGCCACAGCCCAGTAGAAATACACTAAACCAACCATGAACAATGACTAAAAGATTAGCAATTGATAGAGGGCCAACACTGATACATCCACATAAAATACATTTTATGTCATACGACTTATGAGTCCAAGTTACTTTTCATTTTCCCTTTTTCAACAGATAAGCATGTTAGCTCTATCATTATTTCAACAGACATGTATAAAAACTATATCTCACATTCACAGATAAGCATATAAGCTATATCCACATTCTCAACAGATATGTATAACAACAATATCCCACATTTACAGATAAGCATATGAACTATATCTACACTTCACAAAGATAAGCATATGAGCTCTATCTTCAATTTACTTGACAAGCATATGAGCTGTATCTACGGAGTTCATCCCCTATCTTATCCCAACACTATCCGATTTAGAGGTACATCCCCTATCTTCCCCTAAACCGCGGAGTACATCCCCCATCTCCTCCTCTACACATAACGTATACAAACACAATGGTTCTATATACAATCACTCAGTACATACAGTTAATGTATTCTATCAACCGTCAAGTTCCATGACACATTCCATTGATTAGTTTTCCGTTTGCCTAATCATCATGCATTGTCTACAACAATCACGACTATCCTCCACCGATAGCCCAAAGCAGTTATTTCTAAACAGAAAATAAATGCACAAATGGATATTCGATTAACATTTCAATTCGGTGAGTGATGAATAATTCAACTACACCCTTTTCCCCATATATTCCCAAACTCAACATTTCCATTTCATAACTTCATTTCTCATGATTAATTAACCCAATTAATCAAACAATGTAATTAGGTCTTTTACCATAATTAACATTTCAACCCTTAAGGTCCCATTTTCAACAATGATTCAACATTTATACCATTTCTCTATGCCAAACATGCATTTAGGTTTATTACGAATAAAACCCCAACTTTTGTAAAATTACACAAAAGCCCCAAACTTCATAAAATTACCAAACCAACCCCAACATCTCAAAATACTAAAATTTAAAGACAAAATCCATAGAGAGGAGTAGGATATCCCTACCTCAAATCCGGAGCCCCAAATGAGAAGATGACAAAACCCAACGTGCTCCAAAACCCGAAATTTTCAGATTAAAATGTAGCCCTCGATGATCAACAACTTTTTTGTAAAGGCCAAAGATGAGCAAATCACTCCTACTAGATCAAAATCTAGAGGGAAGGTAGAGTTCTAGAGTGAGAGGCTCAATAATGGTGTTTTTGGAAAAGTAGGAGAGAGAAGAGAAAGTGAAAAAGTGATTTGAAAAGTCACAACTCGGGACTTAAACCCAGTCGCCCCGCTCGAGCGTCAAAAGCTCCGCTCGAGCGTCACTCACAAACCCTCGCTCAAGCACCAACAAACCCGCTCAAGCGTCGAATACACACTCCCAGAACTTTTACAGAACCAGGCCATCGCTCGAGCTTCCAACTCCCTGCTCGAGCGGCACTCACACA